TTCTTCTAGAGACCAGTACCGCACACCTTCAGCACTGACACATAGGAACATGTATTTATATAGATAGCACGCAATCCTGAGTCCTTCCTCAGAACTGGCCCTGCATTAAGTGGCAGGGATTTGGAGATAAATGAGACAGGGGTCCTGGCCTCGAAGGCATTCAAAGAATCAGATGTTTTCACAGTTCAAGCCAAATGTCTCTCTCTGCATGTATGTCTTTATACATGATTACATCCACGCATATGCACATACAGAGAGAACAGAGTTTGAACAGAGGGAAGGTATGAACAAAGCTACTGAACTCCCAAGAACTCAGTCAGAAAAGGAGAATGCCACCAAATCTCAGATGCTAGAACCAGTGTTTAAACCATCAGTAATTAGTCACTGTGTATTTAGTGCTGTTACAAGCCATGAACTAGGCTAAGTGATTTCTAAACACTATCCTGACAACCACTTGGCAAGGTAGATCTTTGTATCCCCATTTTATAGATAAGGAAACTGAGGTGCAAAGGGATTAACTAATTGGCCCAAGATTATGTAGCTAGGAATCAGCAGGGCCAGGATTGGAACCCAGGTTTGTCTGGCTACTAAGCCCAAATTTTACTTCCTATAGGACAAGAGAAAACATTTAAACTATCTATGTCAAGAAACAATAGGATCACAACAGCAAACAGGTGGATTCACTAAGCCAGTCATTACTGACTGCTCAGCTCACATCCGGAGGCCAAGCAGCAGGGTGGCCTTGGAGATGCAGGGAGAATCAGGATGAGAGTCCAGCCCTCAGAGCTTACAGGGCAATGCTGGAGCCAGACAGGGAGCACAGGTGCCCCAGAGGGAGAGCCACAGCCTGAGGGACCAGCCTGAGGGACCAGTCGGGGTAGGCTTCCAGGTGAGGCCATGTCCACACCTGGCGGTGTCTTGAGTCACAGAAGAAATTAGGCTGAGGAAGGCAACCTTCTAGCCTGAAGACATAGCCCAGAGGGCCCGGGGCAGGAGCAAGCACATCCTGGTCCAGGAACCACAGGTGCTTCGGGGTAAGTGTAGGTCAGAGCGCACCCTCTGGCACAGGGCTGAGAGCTTTTTGCCATTTGCACTTTAGTTGTTGGGGAAGTAACTGTCACACTCCTAGGAGACACATGCTACTTCCCCAGAGGTGAAATGGGACAGTTCTCATAACAATTCCATACCACCTTCAGTCCTGCAGGAGGTTCTGTGTGTGCACTTTGGAATATGTAAGGATGGTTTGTGAATCTGTGAGAGGGAGGATGCTTGAAGCAAGAACACAGGTTTCCATGGATGAGAGAAATGCCCACTCCTCTCACCTCCCAACAGGTCCCTTTAAACAACAGCCCTGGACTCCCCCTACCACAGGGGCTCCTGGGGATGTCAGAGATACAGTCGTCTTCCCTGTAGTCGAAGATCTGCCCTTCAAACCAAAGGGGAGGCTATCTGATGAACTGTCAGGGGGCACTAGGCATGGTGACCCTTCTCATTCTCACGCCAGTGTCACATCCTCCACTGGAGGTCCTGGCAAGTCATTTACCCTCTCTCTGACTTAGTTTCTTCATCTGTGAAGCAGGCAACCAATACCAGCCCTGGGTAGGCTGTAAAATTTAGAGACAGATCAGGTAAAGGAATTATTAGCGCAGTGCCTGTTACACACTAAGAAGAGGTTCCACAATCTGCAATTACTACAAGTATATCACGCTATACAAATATACTGTTACAATTCTGCTCTGTTACCTCCCTATGACCAAATGCTGCTCTCACAAGCCCTCTTCCTACCCCCATACCACAGTACTATGCTTGGCACAAACTCTGCCTGCTGTCATTCTCTTAAAATGTCCACATTAAAGACAAAAAATCTTGTCCAGCTAAATCAAAGCTCTCAAAGAAAGGTAGTAGTGAAATGGGAATGGGATGGGGGGCGGTCTTCCTGTATTTGCTAAGAATGCTCCAGGGCACTGAGCCAGGCTCTGGGCACACAGGGGGGCACCACCTCAGTCGTTACTGATGGTCTATACTCAGGTACCATCCTGAACACCCTGTGCCTGGATGCTGAGAACTGAAAAAGGTTTGTGTACCAGGTCCTTAAGACCTGAGACCACTGATATGTCACCAAATTTAGCACAAATCTTAAGATGTTTGTCTACATTGTATTGCCTTTTTTCCTTCTGGATGAGACACATCGTTCTCTGCTTCAGAGGCTCCTTGGGTCCACACAACACCTTCCCAGCTTTGCTCATAAAACATGTGCACAGAATCTGGTCTTTTCAAGGCATTCAGGAGATGCTTTGTTTGTCTGTTGTGAATAGCCAAGATACATGAGAATAAAGGTAAGAGGTTATAATAACTGCCTAGCCACCGCGTTATTTCTGAAGTTGGGAGTATGTTTGCACCAAAAGTGCAGTGATTCTGCGAAAACCTCAAACAGTTCCTGGGGATTAGCTGCTCGGTTCCCTACCACAAGAAGCAAAAAACGCAAAGGCGGAACCAGCTGTGTGCCACAAACACGACATCATACACCAGCCCAAGCCGGGAGGACGCGCTTCCAGACAGTTGTCTGGAGGGTGCATTCAAGTCAGCCAGGCAGCTCGACGCCACACTCCCAATTTTCCTCTACACATGAATACAGAATTGTATGGAAGAAGACAGCTAGAATTCGTTCAATCTTCTTTGCATGCCGTTCTGACTTTTCTCCTTTTTAGTGATGGGAATAATAACCACACGAGCCTTAGAAACGGCCAAGTCGTTGCAGGATGTGTCATCCAGGAAGCATCCCTTCAGTATCTCCAATGCTCCTCAGAGATGATGTGGAATTTGGAAACATAAAACGCATGTGCATTGTAACAAGGAAAGTAAGTCCTGTAAATATCAACTAAAGTGTCATAGTAAATGTCTCTGTTTTGATCAAATACTACACATTTGTCTTTAAAAAAACAATGGAGCTAACAGCGCCCTTTGCCGCCCCCTACTGGGTGGAAAGGGAAAGGAAAAAAGAATGCGGTGGATTCAGACAGCAACTTACATTCCTCAGGGCCAATCAACTTTTTACATTAGAAAGACAAATGGGTTGTTTTCACCACGAAATGAGTATGTTCTGAGTGGGGAAGATGAAAGTGTTGGTTAAAATGCACATAATTATTCATATAAACGTGAATCATTGAGAGCCTGGATTTTTTTTTTTCTTCTCAACCTTTCTCTTATCTCTACCAACCTTCAATTTCTTCCTAGGAACTCGATGGTGCACACAAGCACACCAGGTCTTCTTCCTAAACGAGTTTTCCCCTTTCTTCATTTGCTGTGAGCAACACCCCGCCCCCCGCCCCCCGTTTGTAGACATCTGCTCATACATACACCATTTGCTCTGCTACCAAACGACGGAAAAAATCTTCAAAAACATGTCATCTGCCTGTCTAGCGAAGTGTCTATATATTGGGCAGGAAAGAAAAAGGTTTGGAAGTTCATTGGTTTTTATTCTTATTTTCACCAAAACAACAGTCTCTCGGACCAATCAGCGACTCCTTTCCACATTCCTTTACCTTTGCCACATGTTTGAGACATTTTCATAATCAGTTTTTCTTTGTCTTCTCCAAAAAGAAACTACCTCTCAAGGATACAGAGGTGGGGGAAGTGGCGGGGGTAGGGGTGGTGAATTGCTGAAAAAAAATAAGATGTGCTTATAAAATAATGTCACCAAAAACTAATGTCTCGTATTCTTCTCAATTGTATCACTCTCAAGTTGCGGGAGAGGAATTTCCGAGGTCCAGAGAAGGTCAACTGTCTGCCTCGCACTCTCCCCACCCACCAAGAGTAATTAAACATAGTATACATTCCCTCCTGAGCCACGGGTAAGTTACAGTTCAAAGGCAGCGTGCAAATCAGGTTGCCTTTAATAGTGGGCCTCTTAATCTACAAGCGCAAACTCCTCTGTCCTCTGATGAGGGTCAGACAACATGCCAGTGACCACGTTCCTCCCCCAGCTGGTTATGGGGAAGATTTGACCACAGAGCTTAAACCAAGCGCACGCCCTCCTAGTCAATTGCGCAGAGAATCAACAAGTTATCACTGAGCTGGGAGCTCCAGCCCAGAACAGCCACTGCTTCCGCAGCGCCCACCGCCACCCACCCCAGTCTCTGCTCTACCCTGGCCTCTCCTCTCACGGTCCAGCAAGCACGTGACCCTCAGTTTCAGATCCGCCCTCCTGTAGTCCCGACCCCAGCGCTCCTCCCCGCGCTCCTAGGCAGCAGTCAAATTCCGTGGCTCGCCTAGCCAGCCTACAGTCTCCCGACAGCTCCACGCGTTCACCAGGATCTTGCTTCCTCCCGCGCAGGAGGAGTGGGGAAGGTCAAGAACTCCAGACTAACAGGGCTGAGGGGACGGAGGTCACCATATTCGGCGTCTCTGCGCTCGGGTACTGAAGCAGAGTCGGAGAGGCTGTGCGGAGCGTCACATCCCGCACTTCTTCCGGACTCCATGGCCCACCCGTGGAGGGCGTGCGTTCCCAGGGGAGCCATAGCCGCCCTGGGGGAGCCTGAGGTCAGCCAAGGCCTCCCCTGGAGCCCCTAAGTTTCCACCCCATTCTCTATCTGGGAGACGAGCCTGCTCCCCTCTTTGAAGGCGCTGCCGCTAATCCCTCTCTCCCAGCAAGAGCAGGCAACTGCCTCTCCGTGCCGCGCCAGCGCCCTGCTCCAGCCGTTCCCCGGCGGAAGCCACTATGCCCCCACTCCGGCGCAGACAGCCCCCAAAGTTGTCCGGACTCCCCAGACCTCGCCCTCTCCTCGGTCCCTGGACCCCTCCAAAGGGATGGACCAGCGTCCGCATGTGGAACCTCTCTGGTCCAGGGCGCTCACTTCGGGGATCCCGGGCGCACTGAGGTCGGGAAAGCTGTGGCGAGGGAGGTTGTGCAAATCCAGAGTCAGCCTGAGTCCCCACAGATTGCACCCTCAAGCTCTCCCTGCCTCCCTCCTCGTAGACGAGGAAACTTCCCCAGCACCCACCTTTAGCCGCGAGGAGGCGGCGCTGCCGGCTGCCCCCGCCGCCGC